ATCGTTTTTTGATGAATTCATCTATTGTTTCCACTTTTAGTTCTCGATGTAGTTGAGCGGTTCTTATGAACCAGGGGGCATCTACTGCAATTCTTAATACCTTGTTTTGAAAGGATTGTAGTTTTTTTCTTTTCGTAGCTGAAGCTGCTCCCCAGACTTCACATCCGTACATTAGCAAGGGTCTTAGTATGGTTTTATGAATAAGAACAGTTGTCTCTGGTTTTAAACTAGATTTTCTATTTACTATGGGATATAACATTGCTAACCTTGCGTATGTTTGGGTCAGTTTATTATTTATATGGTAATTCCACGTAAGGCGGCGGTCCAGATAAACTCCGAGGTATTTTACTGCTTCACTAGCTGGGTTCCATTTTAGTTCTTTATTTTTGAGAATCAGTTCAGGTGGGTCTGAGGGACGTCTAAGAGTAAAAATTTTTGCTGTACATTTTTCGGTGTTGAGACAAATCATCCATTTTTTTAAATATTGTTCTAGATTTACTAGGTAAGACTGCAGTGTATTTCTGGCTATTAATATATCATTGTGTTGGGAAAAGACAGCTGTATCGTCGGCAAACATAGCTATGGAGGTGTTTGTGGATTGGATAATGTCGTGAACATAAAAGTTAAAAAGTATGGGAGAAAGAACAGAACCTTATGGGGTGCCGGCATGGATTTGTCTTAAGGTTGAATTTATATTATTTATTCTAACTGTAAATGTTCTGCCGTTGAGGAATGAGCTCAGAACGTCATATAAATATTTGGGCGTGTCCACTTTCTTTAGCTTGTACAATAGACCACAATGGCAAACCTTAGTATGTTTTTTCATTTCAAATACATTTACTATGAATTCTGATAATCTTGCCAGTTGGTGTGAAGTGGAATGACTATACTGAAAACCAAATTGAAAATCAGGAATAATGCTATTACATTGTAAAAAGGATGCAAGATGTCTTTTTATGACTGACTCTAGTAATTTTCCAACTATGGGTAATAAACTTATCGGTCTATAGCTACTGACTTGTTTAGCGTTTTTACCATGCTTATGAATTACTACGAATTCAGCTTTCTTCCACGTTTCGGGAAAATATCCAGTGCGTAGACAGCTATTAAAAATAGACGTAATGTAAACGAGAGCTTTTCTAGGAAAATTTTTTAAAGCAATAACTGGTATAAGGTCATGTCCTGGACTTTTTTTTACTTTGAGACTCCTAATTACTTCTTGAATTTCTTTAGGGGTTGTGAATTTAATCGGAAGCTGTACAGTTGTTAGGGGCAATTTTAAATAATCTTCAACATCAACATTTGGTGAATGCGGACTTCTTTCGCATTCTGGGTTTGAGAACGTTTTCTCAAAGTAATCTGCAAATGCTTCAGCTTTTTCTGCGTCACTGATGATGTATCCACCATTCTCTTCCAGACTAGGAATTTTCTCAAATTTGCTTAGTACACGCCGAGTAGCCTTCCACAGAGATTGGTCCTTTGGGTCTAAATCTTTTACGTAATTTTGGTATTTAGAATACACCCATTCATCGAGTTCTTTTTTAATTACGTGTTTGAGGTGGTTCCATGTCTTTCTGTAAGTAGGATCTCTGTTGCGCATCCACTGTCTCCTTGCATGGTTCTTTTCTTTAATTTTTAACAGAATTGATTTTGGGCAACTCCTTGAAAAATTTTTCCTCACTAACTGGAAAGGTCGTACGGTTGCTTCCTGTAGACTATTCGAGATAGACTCATTTAGTTTATTTATATTTTCTTCGATTTCAAGGGCAGTAGAAAAATTATTTTTCAGATTTATTTTCTCAGCTACTAAGATTTTGTATAATTCCCAGTCAATCGTTCCATTAATGAGTGATTTTCGCTTCGGCACTACATTTAGCTCAGTTGAAAAATTAATTAATACAGGGATGTGGTCCGAATTTAAGGCTGTGATAACGTGAGATGAGAGAGGAAGCCTACAATTTTTGGTGAGTGCAATATCCAAAATATCGGGATTACAGCCTGTTCTATAAAAAGTAGGTTCATTTGGCGTATGGATTTGAATATTGTGCCTAGAACAAATTTCTAGCAAAATATTTCCGCTAGAATTTGATTTACGACAGCCCCAGTAGATGTTTTTACTGTCCATGTCACCTAGAACTAAAGAATGGTCTCCTGATGGCAAGAGTTTTAAAATTTCATCTTGGGGTAGTTTTTTGTTTGGAGGTTTATAAACTGCCGTAACGACTGTAGAGGGCAATGAATGTAAACGAACTGATATGACTTCGATATTTAAAATATTATCAATAATGTTTTCAGTGAAGCTAATATTATTCTTAATTATTAAGGCTACACCGCCGGAAGCAGTCGAACATTCTCGATCCTTTCGTAAGATTTTGTAACCTGGGATTCTAAATGTGATGTTTTGAGATAGATGTGTCTCGGTTATGTAGGCTATGTCGATGAAATTTGATTCAAGAAAAATTTTAAATTCATTTCTTTGAGATGATATGCCATGCGCATTCCAGTTTAAAATTTTTAATTTTTTAAGTTCTGCAGTCATATATAAAAAATTAATATTTGGAAATAAATTAAATAATACGTGATCTGGAATAATGCGCAGTTAGTCTCGAACGAGTTAGTAATAGATAAGATAGTGTTTACTTTAGGGTCCATTAGTAAATAAATAAGCTACGAGCGAAGATAGGTGTGTCATAATTTGTGGTAAATACGGTTTGATAGCATCGATAATAATATTAGTTATTGTTGACAGTAAATTATCGCCGTTTATTTCAATGTTTTGATTAACTGTGGGCTGAGGTTTTCGTTCCGATTGTTTTGTTATCGGTCTAATCGTGTCTGCGAATGACTGTTTTGAAGTAATTCTGGAGGCAGGTCTAGAAGAAATATTCTCAGTTTTTTGACTAGTTGGCTCTAGAGGTGAATTTACTCTATTTTTTATATTTTGATAATAGACGCAACCCTTGTAGGTAGCTGCATGGGCCAATTTACAGTTTACACAAAATGGCTTATCTGTGAATTTTAACGGGCATTTAGAGAAGTGGTGTTTTTCTTTGCACTTAACGCACCGGGGCTCTAAATGACAATAATTTTTTACCTGGCCGTACCCCTGACAGTTGGTACACATGGGGATATCATTTTTCTTGTGTTTAGGTTCGACTGTAATTAAAGCAGAAAATAAATTGTTAAGATTGAAAATGTCATTAGCCGTTTCATTGTTTATAATAGACACTGAGCAGAGAGGAGTAGGTTTCTTATCTTTATTTAATATTCTGGAAACGTAAACAATTTCGAACTATTTGGATTTTAACTCGGCCTTTAATTCATCTTCGGTTATGCTATAAGGGACCTTCCTTATGACAATGTTTAAATATTTATTTTTATCTGAGGAAAATGAGTGATATTCAATTTTTTCTTCATCGTAATATTTAGTCATAGTTCTGTAGTCTTCAATGGTTGATAGCATTATTTTTGTGTTGTTACCGGCCAGTTGCGTATTAAATGGTCCGATACATAATGCATTTAGGTCATTTAATAGAAGTCTGTAATTGTTAGCATTGTGTAAAAATATCGGTGGTATTCTAATATCATTGGATTGAGCATTCGGGTTATTTTTATAACTAGTACTTGCTGTAATGTGCTTATCGGATGAAAGGTCAATTTCAGTAAGATGATTAAAGCTATTGCTTACTTTAATTGGAGCGATTTCCTGGTAGTACTTGCCCATTTTTTTAACTGGTGATCGGGATTGAGGTGAATCAATAGCTACATGAACTCTCTTCTTAGAACAGGATTCGTCCGTATGTTGGTCTACGTTCGTTTTAGTAGTGAGGGAAACACCGGGCGAATCACTTAATTCTTCGCCGGGTTTCATTAATTACATTAAAAAAAAAAAAAAAAAAAAAAAAAAAAAAAAAAAAAAAAAAAAAAAAAAAGACAAAATACATGAAATAAAATGAATAAATGAAATATAAAAACAGTCCGAATAACTCCAAAGTACAACCGCACTCCATGAAAGCCAGAGGCCAACTGAATGTAATAAATTGTTAAACAGTTAAGAATCACAGCTTGGGGGATTTCCCGATGTAATCGATAGATTTCACTGGGTATGAAAATATGGCCCCTTTCGGGCGCTGTGTATCAGCGAAACGGTTTATTCTTACGAAAAAACAATTTTTATAAGAAATGTAGACAATTTTATCTACTTTAATTTAGTGCAGCATGAGTTTGTCAATAAAACCTTGGTTTTTGATGAGTAGGCCGAAAACTGAAAAAAGTGTCAAACTTTGGTCAAAAAGTGTCCAAAAAACAAAGTTCCGAACAAAAGTTTTGCCAGAAAACTTCAAATTCGTGTTCAGCCACCAAAAAAACATAAAGGTTGAAAAAATAAAAACTTGTTTTCGAGCCCTCATTTTTTTTGCTAATATGCCTAGCCTAAAGAGGCAAGTGCGTCTTCGGTGTGAAAGGGGCCTAAAGATGTAGTCAGTTTCAAAACTGATATTTAAAATATTAACTATAACTGGGTAGATATTACTAGCAATTTATTTTATTTTATATCGATCTTTCTCAGCATTTTTCTCTTAGTAAGATACGAACATGGTATGGCATGTTAGTCCGTTGTGAATTATTAACTTTACTGCTACTCATGTTTTTATTAATACTGGCTGTTGTTGATGATTATTAGCAATTTAAATGTAACTTAAAAAACACAGAAATGAGTAACTTATGTGAATTTTAAGAACTCTAGAATAAGTCAAAGGTTATATGATAACGAATTAAGTTATTCAAATGTACTTAAAAAAAAAAAAAAACTTAACCTTTAACCATTAGCTTAAATAAATGTACAATAGCTTAATGTATTATTATGCAATAGATCCTTCAGATTACGTTAGGTAAAACTCAACACCTTGTGGATTGATTTATCTTGCGGGCAATAAATAATATTGTAATATTGGAAGGGAAAGCTGTTGGCGCATTAATTATATATAAAAATAAAATTTCAGCTGGAAGAAAGAAGGTGAAAAGAGAGTGGAGGCCGGAGGTAGAGTTATTACTGCTAATGAAGCTCTAATAATTCATCGGGCAGAGCTCACTGATTCCGGATCTTGGACATGTCTTGCTAATAACACTGCTGGCCAGCAAACCAAAACCATTTCTTTACATGTAAGTTGACTGTATTAATTAAATATTACTTTTTTTTTTTTATCACCAAAATTTCTTTATTGAGTATTATAACAATCTGTCTGTTCGACATTGGTTATAGTGAGGTAGGATGACATTCACACCATATGTACAAAAAAATAAAATAAATAGAACAAAATAATAATCAAAAGTATATACAATAGACAATAAAATAAAATAACCTAAAAAATAAGAAAATTAAAACTAAGGAAAAAAAAAAATAAATAAATAACATGCATACCTATATACAATCAGGCGAGGGAACTCCAGGAGAACCCTGCGCTACTCTTCCAACCGCGTCACTGGTACTAAAGCCAGCGGAGATTGGTCGAGAGCACTTTAGCCACATACACACATGTCTTGAGTGAAGAATCTGGCCATTGCCAGAACTCCAATTTATATAATTTACAAAAGGTCGCGAGGCCACTGCCGTTTCAACCTTCTTGGAGGATTATAGGGATGTGAGATGCTTGATAGGGATTGTGCAAGAGGATTTGGGTGGTAAGTAAGGTTCTGGTGAAATTTGGAGAACTTTTCTGGGATAAGGTCTAGGACAAATGGGATGTTAAGGTCATGATGTAGGGTTTTGTTGGATACATAGAAAGGAGCATCGACTATTGTTCGAAGGACTTTAGACTGGAAGGATTGGATGCGCTTGATGTTAGAAAATTTTGCTGATCCCCACAGTTCTAGTCCGTAAGTCCAAATAGGTTTCAGTATTGTCTTGTAGATCAGTAGCTTGTTTTCAATGGAAAGTTTAGATTTTCTGCTTAGTAGTCGGTATAGTTGGCCGTATCGTCGGTTGAGTTCTTGTCTTTTGAGTCTAGTATGCGGGTTCCAAGTTAGTCTTCGGTCTAAATGAAAGCCAAGATACCGGACTGTGTCTGAATAAGGAAGCTGGATGGAATTAAAGAGTACTGGTGGACAGGAATTGCGTCGGAGTGTAAAGGTAATATGTTGGCATTTAGATTCATTAACTTTAATGCGCCAGTTATTACACCAGTGCTCAATCAAGGTGAGATGACTTTGGAGATTTAAGGATGCTATTTCGGGATCAGAGTTGGATGATAAGATTGCGGTGTCGTCAGCGAATGTTGCAAGAAAAGTATCGGGATGAACAGGGATGTCAGCAATAAAGAGGATGTAAAGCACGGGACCCAAGACGCTGCCTTGGGGAACACCGGCTTTAACGGAGTAGATATTGGAAAATTCTGTTCCACAGCGAACTCGAAAGGAGCGGTCAGAGAGGTAGGATCGGAGGACTAGGTACAAGGACTGAGGTAAATGGATTTTAAGCTTGGAGAGCAGTCCGGAGTGCCATACCCGGTCAAATGCCTGTGCAATGTCCAGAAAGGCACCCGAACAGTATTCCTTGTTTTCTAGGGCTGAGGAAATATGATCAACAACTCGGAGTCCTTGTTGAACAGTAGAATGTTGAGAGCGAAAACCAAACTGATGGGAAGGGATATTTTGGGATTCTATAATGGGTAGGATTCGTTTCAAAAGGATCTTTTCAAAAATTTTTGAAAGGATTGGGAGTAGGCTGATTGGTCTATAGGATGTTGAGCTATTGAGAGGTTTTCCTGGTTTTGGGAAAAGGATAATAGTGGAGTGTTTCCATAACAGAGGGAAGTGGGTGGTGCGTAGGATACAATTGTAGATATATGTAAGGAATATGACTGCTTTGGATGGAAGTTGTCGAAGGATTTGAGGTGTAAGGAGATCATGTCCAGGAGCTTTACGGAGGATTAGTTTTTTTAATTGAAATTTTACTTCGGAAGGATGAATAGCTTTTGGGGGCAAGGAAAGTGGGATTGGTGATGTAAGGAGTTCTTCTACTGTTACGGTGTGGGCAGGATGGGATTCCGGATGTGAAATAAATGTATTGGATAGGTGAATGGCGAACTCCTCAGCTTTATCTTCGTCAGATGCTGCCCAGGAGCCATCACCTCGTCGGAGAGGATGGGAAATGCGGTGAGGATTCAGGATTTTTGTTGTGGTTTTCCAAAGGGAATTGTCGCGAGAAGAGAGGGAGGATAGGTAGGAGTTGAAGGATTGTGATCTGAAGGTGGCTAATTCCAGTTTTAATTGTTTGCAGTAGTAATTATAGGAGCAGCGGTCGGTAGGATGTCGGGTACGTTGCCATAATAATCTGGCACGGCGTTTGGTGCGGATTAGGTTAAGGAGGTGTTGGGGTAGAATGGTCTTTATAGGAATTCTGGAGGAGTCTTTTGGGAAGGAGGCAGTCCAGGCGGCTTGTTGGATTGTGGTAGTAAAGGAATTTACGGCACTATCAAGGTCATCGGGAGTTTTGAGGAATATGTTGAGATCAATATTATCGGAGATTATTTGGCGGAAAAGGTCCCAGTTTACTGGGCCCCTAATGAATGACGGTGGAGAAGGTTTGGGAACAGGTTCAAGTGAAACATTAAGGATTAGAGGACTATGGTCAGAGGAAAGTTCATTTAGACGTGTAATGGAACAATTGAGGGGACTTAAGCCGCTGTGGATAAAGAAATCAAGAAGATCAGGATTACGGTTGGGATCTGTGGGCCAGTAGGTAGGAGAGTTGGGGGAAAGGAGGTGAAAACGTTGGGAATTGAGTGCAGACAGCAGGGTTCGGCCACGAGAATTCGTGGTTCTGGAACCCCATTGTTGGTGCTTGGCATTTAGGTCTGCACCCAAGATGAAGTGATGTCCTAAGGAGTCGAGGAGAGAACTGAATTGGGCATTGGATATGGATCGGTTAGGAGGGCAATACGCTGATGCAAGAGTGACCGGAAAGGAGAAGGTTTTTATCACGATAGCGGTGGACTGTAGGAAATCATGTATTGGTAATGGGAGTAGGTGATGGGAGAGGGATTGGTGTACAATTACAGCAGTACCGGCATGTGCTTTTCCGTCAGGGTGGTCAGTACGATATGTCAGGTATTGTGGTATATTGAAGTGCTGTTTAGTGGTTAGTCGAGTTTCAGTAATTAGTGCCACATCAATGTTCTTGTCAAGTAGTAAAGTAGATAGTTCGTCTGTATGATTTCTAACACCATTCGCATTCCAAAGGAGAATGGATATGGGTTTAGGGATGTGAGTCATTTAAGGATTTTTCAAAGGAGGGATGAGGTGAGATACGAGATTCGTGAGGAGTGATATGAGTGGAGTAACAAGGGATTTGAAATCGGTGAGGAAAGATGCTAACAAACTTGTGAGATCTGTTGCATTTGAAGGAGGAGGAATATGAGGAATTTGTTGTTGGTGGTTAGGTATATTAGGATGAAGAGGATTTTGAGGTTGGGTTTGAGGTTGTTGTTGTGGCAGGGCTTGACATTTATCGGTTAAAGTCTTACCTCTAAGTAGTTGGGAGAATGATACATCATTGTTTACAATTCTGGAAGGCTCTCTCTCTCTTCTTGTTCTTAGTGCTTCATCTTGAATCCGGTTTTTCTGGTGTCTGGTTTTGAGATTCTTGTAAATTTGGCAGCCTTTGTAGTTGGCCGGGTGTCCCTCCAAGCATAGGGCACATACTGCTGGATCTTGTATAGGTTTGGTGCACTCTACAGATTTGTGCTGTTCACCGCACTTCACGCAACGCGGCAGATGGTGGCAATATGTCTTCGTGTGGCCATAGGTCTGACAATTATGGCACTGCACGATGTCTCTCTTGGGATATGGCTTCTCAACTTTCACCATTGTATAGTATATTCTTGTGATATCATATATTTTTTCGATACCTGGTGATGGCTCCAAGTCCACGAAAAACAATATTACAATATTACTTAAACTTATTTTAAATATTTTTGTATACTATATTTTGAAATAGTAAAACTGTTCAGATACTTAATTCTAGATTCACAGACATCATTCCTCTCCGAAATCAAATCCCTCATCACCCTGCTCATTACCTTACTTACAAATGTCATAGCCAATCTTATCCCTTCGCCAAGAATTCCTTAAATGTCCTCAATAAAACCCCTCTCCATTCTCCTTTGGAATGCGAATAATGTTCGAAATCACATCAACGAACTAACCTTTTTTCTATAGGACAATAACATAGACATAGGCCTAATAACTGAGACCCGACTAACTAACAAAAGACAGTTCAACATACCTGGCTACAAGATATATCGAACTGACCATCCTGATGGAACAGCACATGCTGGCACTGCTGTCATTATCCATCAGTCCCTCTCCCATCACTTGTATCCTTTACAAGTTAACAATTTCCTACAGACCTCTGAAATAACAATCCAAACTTCACTTTTTCCTCTTACAGTTGTCGCAGCATATTCTCCACCTAAAATAGCAATACCTAAACGTAACTTCATTTCCTTTCTTAATTCCCTAGGACACCACTTCCTTATAGGTGCAGACCTTAACGCCAAACATCAGCAATGTGGAGCCAGAACCACGAATTCCTGCGGGCGATCGTTGTTTTCTGCACTTAATTCCCACAATTCCAACATACTTGCCCCTGATACTCCTACATACTGGCCAACCCATCCTAACCGTAATCCTGATATCCTCGACTTCATTCTTCATTCACAAATGTCTCGGGCCGCTAAATTACGCAGATCTACGGCTCGATGACCTTTCCTCAGATCACAGTCCGCTAAATCTAACCCTTTCCGCATCTCCTATCCCCAGGTTATCTCCTCCCTCATTCATCAGAGGCCCAGTCAACTGGAACCTTTTCCGCCAAACAATAACAGATGCAATCGACCTCAGAGTATCCCTAAAAACCCCTCAAGACCTAGATAATGCAGTGAGTTCCTTTACCATCTTGATCCAACAAGCAGTCTGGACTGCATTCTCACCAATCCCTTCCAAAAAATACCTCAAAAAGAATCCTCTTCCTCAAAACCTTACTGACCTCATTAAATCCCAACGCCAATCTAGGACTATCTGGCAAAGAACCAGGCATCCTGATGATCGGAAACTATATAATTATTATTCCAAACAGGTAAAAAAAGAACTAGCTTCCTTTA